TCTTTGAGATCTGTCTTCACCCCAATGCATGTTTCATAAAGGGAAATATATTATAAGGCATCAGGCGAAATGCAGAGTCATCAAAAGTCCTGGCAAGTCATATTTTTTTTAAAGGATATGGTGCTCTGTCAGAATAGCATTAGGCAGGAGTGCACTTCTCTGTAGGTTTCTCTCTTGGGAACACGTAAGCAGCCATTTGTATCTTTGGGTCTCCTAGGCTAGTTTTTCATTTTTTCCAGGTGCTGCCACTTGTAGGCATCTCTTTCTTGCTCCTTTTGGATAAATATAGCCACCTACCTGCTATGGAGGCATCCCTTCTGCTCTCTAGATGGAAGCCAGAAGCCTCCTGGTGGGCAGTGTTGTTACTTGGTCAAGATGTAGAAGAATGTCTGGAGCTAGGGCTGGCAGGAGGATCAAGAGATCAAGGACAGTGTCTCAGTGCCCTTGGAGATGTCAGGGTTATAATATTTCAAGCTTAAAAGGCTAGGATTTCAGTGATGTGTGGAGGAGAAAGGAGCAGGCATAACTGCTGCTGCACTGGGTGTGCACAGCAATGTGGGGGAGGTTCTGTAACAGGTGCACCCCATCACCAGCACAGGGCAGCATCTTCCCAGATGGCAGAGTGAGTGGATCAGGGCCAGACCTCAAACTGTCTTCCCAGAGCCCCTGAGCATACTATGACATAGATTAGAAACAATAGGTGACAGCTGCCCTTAGCACTACCAGAAAAAAGAAGGCTCACAGCACAGCCAGGTCCAAAGGTGAAGTAGGGTGACCAACTACTTCAGTTTGCCTAGGACTAAGGGGTTTTCCAGGATGTAGGACTTTCAGTTTTAAAAGCAGAACAGTCTTTGGAAAACTGGGACAAGATGGTCCTCCTAAGTGGCACGCAGAGCTGTCACTCTCCCTCCATTATCATCTGTTCTCCTCGGTGCTCTGCCAATTCCACTGGGGTCAGTGAAAGGTATGCTGATTATACAAGAGGTCAAATTATAAAATAAGAATTCTGGGGGAAAAACCAAGGGTTTTACGCAAAGGAGTAACATTACCAGATAGATGTTTTATCTCCCCAATATTTTATTATGAAAAACTTTAAAATATAAAATTTTAAAGATACAGCCAATTTTATAAGTAATACTCATATGCCTCCACATAGATTCTATAATTAGCACTTTACTAGACTCATTTTATCACATCTCTATTCTTCTATGTGTCCGTCAATCCACCTAACTTTTGATGCATTTCAAAATAAATTGCAGACATCAATACACTCTTCCAGATGTTTTTGTGGTTTAGTGAAGGCACTTTATTGAAGGCACTTTGTTGAAGGCTCTTAACCTCTACCAGCCTCAATTTTCTCATCTCTAAGTTGATGACACTTAGTTTTGCTAGGAAGATTTGATTTGTTTACCTGTTTAACAAACTTTCAAATAATGCTTCCTATGTGCACTTTATAAATTTTATCTCATTTAATCCTCATAACAATCCAATGAGGTAAACTCTATTATTACCTCCATTGTAAAGTTAATGAGCTCACTGAAAGTCACACAGTTAAAAATGGCATTGCTGAGAATTTAATCCAAACTCTCTGCCTTTAAAATCTATGTTCTTAGCTACTACACCATACTAACTCCAATATATGATATGTGAACACTTAGCACAGTGCCCACTAAATTATGGGCATCCAGTGAATGGTGATCTTCATTGTTAAAATTTTCACTGCAATCCCACACAGCAGGTATTATCTCCAGTTTACAGATGAGGAAACTGGATGTCGGAGAAATTTGATAACTTGTTATGAGTGCACTGCTGATAAATGAAGGATTTGGGATTTTAACCCAGGAACAACTGACTCCTGGGTCAGCGTCATTTCCCTGTACTTTGCAGTACAAAAACTACTGAGGTACACATGATCCTAGACCACCTATTGGGAATTCTTGTGTGGGGATGGTCTTCCCTCCCCAGCCACAAGCAGAAAAGAAAGTGGTAGAAAGAAGGGCTTCTGCCTAGTTGCCAGGAGGGTCCTGTCTTTTACAACCATTAAACAGACTCAATGGCAGGTGGCAGCAGGGCCTCAGAGCCTCATCAAGCTCCAGGAAAGGAACCATGACTCTCAGCTATCAGCTTTCCCTCTATGGGAGGCCTTACATGGGGCAATCCCTTCTCTCTTGTACCTTCTTCCTCCCCCTTCCCTTCCCCCTACCACTAACCCTCTCCCTTACCCTCCCTCTTCCTTATCCTTCCTTCTCCTCTTTCACCTCCTCCTCATCTTTGGCCTCTCAGGGAGACAGTCATAATCATTATCACTTTCTTCCTCATAGTTACCATTTACTGAATGCTTCTCAGGTGCTGTTTTAGGCAGTTTACATGTATTGGCTTGTTTAATCTTCACAACAATGCTATGAGGAGAGCGCTACTACTATTCCTGCCTCACATATGAGAAAATGGAGGCTCAGAGGACAGTTGGCCTAAGGACACCTGGCCCTGAGTTAACAGCCTTCTCAGAGTTCGCCTTAGGAGATGTTAGACATTGCAAAGATGCTCATAGTTGCTATGGGAAAGCTGAGGGCATAATAGTAAAAGCAACCTCTGGCACAAATCACGCATACTTCATCCCCACTGTCAAACATGTAAAAAGGGCCCAAAACTTGGTTATTCCCATATTGGAAGGCCTGGGTTCTATTCACGGCATTGCTCTTATTTTGCTATGTGATCTTGGGCAAGTCAGTTTCCCTCTCTGAGTCTCAGCTGTAAAATGCAGATGATAATAATGCATTCTCTACTAACAGTACAGGGTTATTAACATGAGCATCAGATGAGAATGTTAAAGAAGGTGCTTTAAGTGTAGAGCATTTTACCAACACAACAACTTCCCTTACTCTCCTCTTCCTCCTCCTTCTCTCTCTCCTGCATCTCCCTTTTCTTCTTTCACTCTATTTTTGTTACTTCTCTTTCCTTCTATATTCTCCCTTAACCAGGTCTTGGACTTACCTGCAACACTACACTTAGGCAGAAGGATCACAGGCTTTAGAGGCCTGGATCTGATTCTTGGCTTTGCCCCTTCCAAGTTGTTTGTTGGGCAATCACTTTACCCTTTTTGAGCCTCAGTTTTATCATCTGTAAAAGTGGACACACATAACACCTTACTGGCAAGGTTGTTGTTGGAAGATGTGGTAGACTGTCTGCAAACATGTCCAATAATTCCTCTCATCTCTGATATGCATGCAGCTCCTTCCATCAAAAGGTAGAATCTCTTTTCCCCACTCCTTAAATTTAGGCTGACTCTGTGACTTGCTTTGACCAATAGCATACAACAGCACTGTTGCTGTATGACATCTGGTCTTACGCCACAAAAGACCTTGCAGCTTTGGTTTTCACCCTCTTGAAAGCCTGCTGCCAGGTAAAAAAACAGTCTGTTTTACTTAGAGAGGCCAAATGGAGAAAGAGAGGCCCTGGAGGATAAAATAATACAAAGGGAGGTGGGGTGGGGGTCAGCCAGCTCACAGCTGTTCCATCCATCCCAGCTTAGGTGCCACATATGAGAGTGCAAACATCTTAGATCCTCCAGCCCCAGTCAAGCTGTCTGAGACAACACCATGTGGAATAGAAATACATCATTCCCAGAAAGCCCTGCTCAAATTGCTAAATCATGAGCAAATAAATGGTGGTTGTTTTAAGCCACTATGTTTTGGGGTGGTTTGTTTCTCACAATAGATAAATGAACCAGGAAAACTAAATGAGATAGCAGCATCCCATCCAGTGGTTGGCAGATGTAGGTGCTCAGCATGATTGTTCCCTTCCCATTCAGAAGTGTCCCTGGGAAATGGCTGATCTGCTAGTGGCGCTACCACCAAAATGAGAGATCTGACCCCCCAGTGTTCCAAGGATGCAGAGCAATGGCTACTCCTATACTTTACAGGGACCTACTGAGGCTTATACAGGTTAAGGTGTATTCCAAGTCACACAGTCGGGTGTCCTCCCTTTGCCTGGAGTGAGCCTGGGCCACCTCAAAAGAAAGCTTGTAGCTGAACAAAATCTTTGTTGATAGAGTAATGTCAGGTAAGGCAAATAGTACTTTTTTTTGACTAGTCATTCAATCTAGGTGATGCCAGAGACACAAAGGAAAGAAGGAAAATTAACACTTATTGAGTGCTTACTATGGGCCTGGCATTGCTCACAACAGCCCCAGAAGTAGGTACTATTATTTTTCTCATTTTCCAGATGAATACTCTGAGGCATATAGAAGTTTTTGTCAGCTGCTGGGTTCCTGGGAAGCACTGGGAATGTTTAATGTATAGGATATTAATTAGGGCGTCTTTGGGATTAACACTTATAGAAGGGAAGAGAAGGAGGCAGGATTGGACAGAGGGAGCTGTTGAACTACAACGCAGTTCTAAGGGAGACCTGAGTCCACCCTATGGGGGAGCTTTGAAGCTGTGATGGCCTTGTAGAGTTGTTCCCTGTGGGGCACCAGGCCTTTATATTCCTGTACCAGTCATTGGATTCCCAGTCCTTGATTTCCAGTTCAGCATTATGTCAACTATTCCTAACATCAAGCCATTCCAAAAAGGAAAAAAGCTTAAAGAAAAAAAAATCATGGAGAAAAAGTAGAAAAAATATGGACTCTGGAACCAGACAAACCTGGGTTCAAATCCTGAAACTTCTCTTACTAGCTGTTTGTTAACTCTGGACAAGTTATTTAACTTCTCTGAGCTTCACTTTACTTTTTTGAAAAATGGCAATAAGAATAAGTAGTTTGAAAGGTTGTTTTGAAAATCAAATACAGTCATTTATATAAAGCATCTTGCATAGAGACCTGACACAAAGTAGGTACTGAATAAATGGAAATTATTATTATAATAGGGTATATTATTGTGGTGCAATATGCCTGGTTTTCTAATTTGTCGGGTGGAGTGAATAAAAGTGAAGAAGAACTACCCAGAAGGGCAAAGACATTACATTTTTCCTATGACCTGGTATAAGTAGGCACTCAGTCAGCATTTACTCCAATGAACAAATGTTTATTTAAAAGGATTTGTACAGACATAGCACTCTTACTTTCAAAGAGCAGAGGAACTTTTTATATTATGAACACACAGACACTGTGGAAACTTAAAACTACAATTAAGGAAGGAAGGAAAAATATGCCCCCCTCCCCACAGCCAGGGGCTGTGACCTGAAGCAAAAGCTTTTTCAGTCAGCTGAAAAACCCCCATCCCTGTCCCATAAGTCTGAGCGTGGTTTGACTAGAGATCTGGCTTTGGCGCAGGGGAGAGCTGTAGGGCTTGGGGAGCGCGGTGCCTTTTCTTTTGGGAGGGAAGGCCACCTGCACAATCTACAGAAAAGGGGGTGGCCAAGCAGATGACCTGAGCTGAGGCTGCCTTATAGAAGAGGGGAGATCCAAGAGAGGGAGGGAATGGAGAGAAAGTCCCTGCGTGTGTAAAGGGATTGGCACTCACTTGAATCTCAACTCACTCCCCTGACCCCTAAAATATCCCACTGAGTAAGTGCCAGAGTAATGGTTTTGAACAAAAGGTAATGCAGATATAAGCCTGGGGACCCTCTCAGCCTAAGGTACCCCTACAGTAGAGCCCTCAGCCCAATGACTTAGGCAGCAGAGTTAGGCAGGACTTGAGGAGTGGGTTTGGGTCCCTGATCTTGCTGTGGAGAACGTCTACTACTGATTTGCTAAAACTAGGGTCATGGGGGAAAGGCCCACAGATCTCAGGACCCTCAGACAAATAGCCTGGTACCTGAGAACTTTAGTATATATGGGAGACTGGCGAGGAGGGGTGTGAACTCAATAATAAACAGCCAGGCCTCCAAAATGAATATGAAAAGGAGGGCTTGTCTAAGCTACCTCTTGGCCTTGAAGATGAGATAAGAGTGAGAGGTGGCTGGGGGACATACATGCACCAAGCCTATTGGAAAGTCCAGCAAGAAGACTGTTATCCCTTCAGAGCCTAAGGCAAAAGTACAGGGAGGGGGCACACTGGAGCCTGCACCTGAAATAAGATATGGGCCTCCTCCAGCCCTCAGACACAGGAGACAGAGAATCACATCTGTGCCTTCTGCCCTTCCCTCAGTTCCAAACAATGGCATGGGTTGAAATGTGGGTGGGAGAGAAGGGATCATCAGAGACACTGTCAATAGCACCTGAACCACATCTCTTCCTAAATCAAAAACCCCAAGAAGAAAAAGAAGTAAGAGCAAAGTGAGACAGGGGTTGTGCTTCCATCACATTAAATAGGAGACTTGGTAGAGGTGGGGAAGGGTTGTTTCACATCAGGACATCAATTACTCTGGCCAAGGGGAGGGGTTATGAGCAGCAGAACTCTATGTGTTCTCTCTCTCTTCATTCATCCTGCTTCCGTTTCGGCTTTTTGGGGTTTCGGGACCGACTCTTGGCTTTGCACAGAGGGCATATAGGTGCATTCCGGTGAATCTGCTGATGACATGACAAGCAGGCCTGGTGGGGGGCACAGGACACAGAAAGTTAGTGGTCAGATTCTTCTAGGGCATGATTCAGCCTTCTGATCCCCAGGGGTCCAGAAAGCAATTGTGATTTCCCAACAGGAAGGAGCAGTAACAAGTGAGAGAGACCCAAGTAGAGAGATCAGTGCTGGATGTAAGGGACATAAAAGATATAAGGGAGTGAGGATCAAATAGGGGTATTGAGGAAAAATATCCAAAACTTGAAAATAAGGCAAAGTGAGAATTGTACATCCATTTAGTATTATACTAGAAGATAGTCCAACAGGCCCACTCAAGGATTATTTCTTTCTCTAGGACAGGTATCAGTAAACTTTCTCTATAAAGGCCAAGATAGTAAATATTTTAGACTTTTCAGGTCATATGATTTTAGTGACAACAAGTCAATTCTATTTTACATGAAAGAAGCTATAGATAATACCTAAACAAAGGCATGGAAGTGAGCCAATGAAACTTTATTTACGAAAACAGGAAACAGGTCAGACTTGGCCTGTGGGTTCTAGTTTTCTGACCCCTACTCTAGAAAACTGTCCTTTTGTTTGACTATTTATCATTGATAAGGACCCGGACTCTGTGATTTATGCTTATAAGCTGCAAATGGTTTTTGCCCAGTAGAGATGCAGATTATTTCTGTTCCGAAGAAAAGATAATCACAAAGGTTAGTTTTATTGCCCTGTAGGATATTAACCATTCCTGTATTTAACTTTGCAAACTTATTTCACTATTCCTCTCCTTTCCTGGCTATATAATCATCTGTTCTTCAAATGCTTTTAGAACCAGCTTTGTAATCCTGCTAGCTCCCTCATTAATGACATATGCTCACCTTATATTTGTTTGAGTCACGTTTCGAAGTTTTTGACAATTATATGTTGGCAGAGCCTGGCAATCTCCCTGCATTCTAACCCCTCTGGGAAAGTGAGGTAACAAAAACAGTAGGTCCACTACAGCACACACACACCATCCCTTCTTCTGTGTCCCAAGCAAAAGCTGTTTTAGGAAGGTCCCAAATAAGTAAGGCCAAAGCTGCAGACCTAGCCTTCTATGGGGCTTCTTGAGGATGCCTTGCTTCCTCCATAGCTCTTACCCAGCTCACTCACCTTCATTGGTGGGGGTTGCTGCCTGAAGGTGGCTGTTTGCCGAGTGTCCTGCTTCCTAGCCACTTGGAGTTGTTGGGCGGCAGCGGCTGCAGCGGCCAGGGACTCAGGGATGGGGGGCTCCTGAGGCTCTGTCTGCCATTCTGCTTTCTGCTTTTCAAAGTAACTTTGAAGATGAGAGACATTACATTAGCTGGATCATTCTGAAAGCAAGCAGAACCTTGCCCATCTTAAGGACTCCATGCCGCAGAACCAAGGGGGTTGGGCTGTGGCTCACTATAGAAAGTTCTTGCAACCTCCCCAGCACAGGTTCTTCTCCCTGGGTACCAGGCCCATTGTCTGATCAGAAAGGTAATCCTCCTGCTCCTTAGCTCTGACAGACCCAGAAAATCAAGAAATCCAAGGGCTAGCAAAGTCCTCAAAGGACATTCATCTACCTTCCATCTCATGTTCCTTTGTAGTATTCCTATTAAGTGTCTTCAGGTCTCTGCTGACATACCTCTAGGAAGAAGAAGCTCACCACTTCCATAGGCAGACTGCTTTACCTTAAGGAAGTATGCTTGCTTCTACTGAACTGAACTCTGTCTCTCTGTAAGGCAAGCCTAGTTCTTTAACTCTGGGTCTTAAGGTGAAGTTCCAGGCTAGCCCCTAGAGACCATGAAAGCTCAGCCTTCTGTGTTTTCAAAGGTTTCTGGACACTCCTTCTAGCCGTTGACTTGGGAATTGACCTCTTAAAAGCCATAGACACACACACACACAGAGTCATACACATAGTCTTGTATTGTCAAAATTGCTCAAAGAATTTTAAAAGCCATCTAGTAATTCCAGTCTAATTATCCTTCTTTTAGTGTAACAGCCCAGCACAGAGACTTGCCCAAGGTCATGCAGTGGATTAGCCACTGACAGGCCTGGGGCTAACACTGTGTACCCTGACTTTCAGACCAGGTTTTATGTGTGTACATAAGCCTGTGCATATATGTGTGTGTGTGTGTGTGTGTGTGTGTGTGTGTATGGTATGTATGTAACAGGGACAAGGGGCTGGCAGCTTACTCCAAGGAGAGCTTCTCTTCCTCTTCACATAGGTCAGGGAGCCTCTGCAGACCCAAAGTCATGCGCAGGGCATCCACATGTTCCTTCAGTGGTTTATACTCATCATGTAGCCGCCGGGTAGATTCTAGCAGCTTGTTTAGATCATTCTCAGACTGTTTGATGGTATTTTCCATCTGGAACATAGAGTGAGGTAGACACAGAAAAGACCCAAAGATTCTCAGTGAGGCTCTACAGCTGAATGGATAATAACACAGGCTCCAGAGCCAGAACAATCTATGGTCAAGTCTTCAATCCACCATGTATTCTGTGTGATTCTTGTCAAGCCTCAGTTTCTTCATCTGTATGATAATGACAATACTAGTGCCTACCTCATATAATCTTGGTGAAGGTTCAATGATGGAATTCATATAAAGCTCTCGGTACAGAGGCTAAGACAGAGTAAAGGGTCAATAAATGGTAGACATTAATCAAATATAGCATCTTAGAACTGGAATGGATGTTAGAGTTCATTTAGTCTACCCCACCACGATTTTACATATCATAGAATTGAGGTTCAGAAAGAAGGAACTTCCTCAGAGAAATACTTCTTACAGGCAAAGCCTAGATAAAGACTCAGGGCTTCTGCCTCCTAGGCCAGTAGCCTTTCTTCTAAATCAGTGGTTCTCAAAATGTGGTCACCAGATCAGCAGCATCAGCATCTCCTGGGATCTCATTAGGAATGCAAATTCTCAGGCATTACCCCAGACATACGGAATCAGAAACTCTGGGGTGGAGTCCAACAGCCTGTGTTTTAACAGGCCCTCCATGTGACTCTGATGCATGTTCAAGTTTGAGATCCACGGGCCTAGATTTTCAGCCCCTCTGTGGCTAATTTCTTCATTTCATTGGCTCTGTATCCTTGGTTAGCTGGCAGCAGAACTGCCAACTCCTCATAAGATCCTAAAACCCTATGATCTTGTGCCACAGAAAATCCCAAGTACCTACTGTCCAAATTGCATTTATATTTCCTTTAAGATCCCAAGCCTGGCAATATCAGGAAATAAGTATTGCCACAGAAATGAGTTTTCCAATAATAGAAACTTAACTCCTTCAAATGTAATTTAAAAAAAATTATGTCTCATTGTCATATGCTCTAAGGGTTGGAAAGGACCTTACAGGTCAGCACCTCCAACCTCTCTCCTGGTGAAAGAACCATCAATACTGCAGCCCAGACAGGTGATAATTCAGACTCTGCTTGCATAATTCCAAAAAGTGGGAAGCTTACCAACTTAGCAGGTAGTTCATTCCCCATGTTCGAAGAGTCTCCAAAAGAGACTCTAATGACAGAGCCCCACTTTGGTAGGCCAGCAGGGATGATTTGTTTGGCCTAGTTGGAAGCTTTAGAACCCTTTAAGGTAGACCTCAGAGGCAGCTGCCTGCTCTGCTTTTCTGCAAGGCTAGCTCTCAACTCCAAGACTCCTAGAATAAGAGCATATCAGAGCTGAAAGAGACCTTAGAGGTGACTGAATCCCTCCCATAATACAGACAGGGAAAATGAGGCCAAGAGAGAAGAAGGGGGATGTTCAGTGATATATAGTCAATCAATGACAGAGCCAGGACTGGATCGCAGAACTTCTAGATTCTTCTACTCCACCACAGCCTGATGCTTACTTTCCCAAGTTGGTGACAGCCACATCTCAAGGAGAGGTCACAGCACTCACTACTGCCTATTCCTCAAATGGCCCAGAGGAAGACTTCAGGGAGCCAGTCACATACCACATTGATGTCAGCATGGATCAGTCGGAGTTCCTCCACGTGGGCCATCTTCTCCTGTAGCAAGAGGTCCATTTCCTGTTTGTATTCCTTCAGGTGCCTCTCTTCTGACTCAAGAGCCTCAAACTCAGCCTTCAAACGGGCCTTGATCTTCTCCATCTGCAGGGTCTTGTTCCTGCAATTCCCAGAAAGCAGAAAACAGACCAGCAGGAGAAAGGAAGAAAATGGGAATGGGGTACAGAGTTAGGCCCTGAGCTAGGGATACCTTTCTAAACCATCTTTCTAAGCTTTCCTCTCTCTAGGCAGAGCCAATCTGAAGCCATCTCAAAAAAGTTAGGAGATTCTTCTATGATAAAAGCTCAGTGGGTCTCAAATGGGGATAATTTTGTTCTCTTATGGGGCATTTGCAAATGTGGGACAGGTTTCAGCTGTTATATGATTTAAGGGAGAGCACTACTAGCATTTAGTGGACATGGGCCAGAGATGCTAAACAGCCTCTCAATTCACAGGGAAGTCCCATACCACAGATAACTCCCACCCAAGATGCCAACTGTGACCTCTTGAGAAACTCCAGAGCAGCACTGTCCAATAAATTTTCTACAATGATGGAAATATTCTATATTTATGCTTTACAATACAGTAGCCACTAGGGACATGTAGCTACTGAGCACTTGAAATGTGGCTAGTGCAACTGAGGAACTGAATTTTGAATTTAATTTTAGTTACTTGAACTTTAAACAGCCACATGTGGTTAATGGCTCCCATATTGGATAGCATAGCTCTATAGGGTCCACTCATCAGTTCCAGAAGAGGAAGGGGAAAGTTAAAGAATGGCAGCTCATTTCTTTTCTTAGAAAAATAAAACCTGTTTCTGCTTAAATTCCAATTGCATACGCTCTGGCTCAGTAATCCTACACCTGGGAATTTATTCTAAGGAAATAATTCAAGGAAGCAAAAAAAAGTTGATACACAGCAATGCGTTTTCTGGGCTGTGGGCAAAATTTGAATATTTGACAGCCATTAAAAAGAATCACTATGAAGACTTACGACATGGAAAATGTTAAGGATATGATACTCAATGAAAAAGTATACATATTTTGTAATTTCAAAATGTACGTGCATGTGCCTAAAGAAAAGCAACCAGCAAGGGTACAGTTTCAAGGATCTTTAAGACCATTTGAAACCTGCTTAAGTGAAAGGGCCATCAAAACTTTGGAAGCAGGCCCCTCTAGGGCACATTATCTTCCCACTGGCTCTGTACTCTCTGGTTCTCAGGTCCTGCCTAGCCATTATCCATTACTCAGATTTGACATCTCCTTTCTTCTGCTTCAGTAGCTGGCTTTCTGTTCTGTCCCAGCCAATCCCATGGGTGCTCTTTCTCCACAACCTTGACCTCAGCCTGCTGCTGTCTTCAGTCTTTCTCTCCTTTATCAACATTGCCTGTGGCTCCTGCCTGTGGCCCTCAATGGCACAGAACCACAGAAAGAATTGTGTTAGATGGGTAGGATGATGGGAAAAATTTTTCTTTCTATATTCAAAAACTTTTTTTCATGTTATTACATTGTTTTTACCTTTGAAAAGGGTAAAATGATAGGTATTATTATCCCATTTGTAAAGAAGGAAATTGAGGTTCAGGGTAGTAACTTCACCAATACTACAGAGCTATTAAGTGGGATGTTAGGATTTAAACCCAGGGCACTCTAACACCACCCATTACTCCACACTGCCTGAGTTGGGTTACCCAGGCTAAAGGGCATAAACACATCTAGAGTTCCTGGTATACCTGTTCGACTATCTTGCAGAAGGATCATACTGATTTGTATTGGTCAATTAATTAACTATTTAGAGCCCCTCCTATATACACTTCTATTTTCCTCCTCTAGATTACATGCAGAGCACTTTGAACTTTGCCTATGCATACCCCAATTTACAGATGGGAAAACTGATACAGTGTCTTACCCTAAATCATATAGCCAGTATTTGGCAATGCTGGGCCTAGAACCCATTTCTGCAGGCAGAACCATATTGTGAAAGAAACATGGGCTTTAGATTCAGACCTGGGTATAAATCCTGGTTCTGCCTCTCACTAGCTATTTGCCCTTAGACAATAATAATAATAACTATATTTATAGTTTAACTATATTGAGCACCTAAATGTACCAATTATAGAGAGTTTAAATATATATTTATTCAACAAATATTTATAGAACATCTATCATGTGCCAGGCACTTACTAGGTGCTAGGACAGAAGAGAGAACAGGACAGTCTGTGGACAGAAACCTTCATCGAATGAGGAAAATAGACCGTTAACACACTGTTACCTGCAAATCTATGTGATGAGTAGTAGGGATGAGATGCAGAATGCAGTGGAAGGGTACAACAAAGGGATCTAACACAGTCTGAGGAACATTGTAGATTCAAGGGGGGAGTCAGAGGAAGCTTCCCTGAGAACCTGAGGAAGTGACATCTAAGTTAAGACCTGGAGAATGAGTAGGAGGTAGCTAGTGAGTGCAAGTAGACACAGAGGAGAGCAGTTCAGGCAGTGAGAAGAGCATGAGCAATGGCCCTGGAGCAGAAAAGAATATGGCACATTAGAGGAACTGAACAAAGGTCAGTGTGACTGGAGCATCTATTGCAAGAGGGAGGGGGCCTGAGATGAAACTAGGGAGGTTGCCAGAATACAGCTGGGAGATTGTGATGAAGTGGGAATTTTATCCTCATGGGAAGGGGAAATGATAGAATTTTAAGCAGCAGGAGAGTGACATAATCTGATTATCTCACTTCACTTCTCTCAGCCTTGGCTTCCTCATCAGTAACACAGGAATAATAAAAGACACCTACTTTGCAGGTTATGAGTATGTGGCACATGGTGGGCAGTCAACAAATGATAGTACCCTTCCCTTCTCACTCTGCCCAACTCTTCTGACTTCTGGTAAAGGTCATCTCCTTTACCACAATGGTTTGAACTTTGTTATAAAGATCCTACGGTGAGTAGGGTGTGTGTGTGTGCTTGTGTGTACATGGATGTGTGTATATGTACTAGCATGAATGGCAAGGTATGTTACCAGTTACTAAGGTTATAACAATAATCATTAGCGTAAGCCACTTCATAATATTAATTTTTTTATATTTTATAGTGCTGGGCCAAGCCTTCCTAATTTGTAACCAATTCAATTAAGATGTCATCAACTACTACTAAATAAAATCAGGTGAGAAGTCTCTCACTGATACTTCATAGAAATCAGCATAGTACATCTTTCCCTGTTTAAATGAATTCCTTTTATCTAATCCTCCCTTCTCCCTCTGTGCCTAATCTACTTACACAGCCCTATGTTGTCAGGCAGGAATCACTGCAATCCCACATTAAATCAAAATAAACCAAAGGCTTTTCACCTTGTGGGTTAACAGTCAAGTGCTGCCTGGAATTGGAAAATCAAAGGCATAAAGCCTTTCTCAAAGAACCAGTGGTATTTCCTCTCCCTGGGGAGGAGGGCTGTCACCAGCAAAATGGCAGCTTTGTCCTTTGGGTAGGAAACCCAGGGTAGTCACAATGTCTGCCTCTATCAAAGGTGTTTTGGAGCCTTTTCAATTGTCCACTCTGGGAAGAAATAGCAAGGACTAGAGACCCTGACTAAGGGAGAGAAGGGCCAAGACTTCTGGTTGGGGAAAGAAAACAGAGTTGTGAAGATAGATTGCAGAAATAGCCTCTATTTGTTTCTCTGGGAAGAGCCTGGCCCATGCCTTAGTGGAGGGACAGCAGTGTCACTGCAGTCTTTGATGGTACTACTGTCACCTCTCAGCAGTGGCATACTAAGGGCAGGGCAGTGGAAGCAGTCCACGCTGGATGCAGACAAAAAGGGGGCACATTGTGTGTAGAGAATTAAAAAATATTAATAGAACCAACTAAAGTTGGTTTGCTCTTTACTATCACTGTGCACTGAAAATTCTAAACAATGTCCACTGAAGGACATCTGGGCTGATCCTAGTTTTTAGCAATTATGAGTAAAGCTGCTAGGAATATCCATGTACAAGTTTTAATGTGACCATAAGTTTTCATTTCTCTAGGATAAATGATCAAAACTACAATTGCTGGATTGTACGGTAATTGCACGTTTAATTTTTCAATAAACTGCCAAACTGTTTTCCAGAGAGGCTGTACCATTTCACAAGCCCACCACCAGTTCCTCCACCTGGCCAGCCATTTTACTTGAAGTGTTTTAAGAAGTAGTATACCTCAAAGTGATTTTAATTTGCATTTCCCTAATGGCTAGTGATGTAGTACATTTTTTTATTTGTCATCTGTATATCCTTTTCCACGAACTGTCCGTGCATGTCTTTGGCCCATTTTCTAACTGGATTATTTCTTCTCTCACAGTTGAGTTTTGAGAGTTCTTTATATATCCTAGATATGAGTTCTTTGCCAGATATCTGGTTTACAAATATTTTCTCCCAGTCAGTAGCTTGTCTTTTCATCCTCTTAACCAGGTCTTTACCAGAACATCTAAAAATGTTTTTGATGAATTCCAATTTGTCAAATTTTTCTTTTATGGATAATGCTTTGGTGTCATGTCTAAGACTCTTCGCCAAGCTCTGGGTTCTGCAGATTTTCTCCTACATAGTTTTCTAAAAGTTTTATAGTTACATTTATACCTACAATCCATTCTGAGTTAATTTTCACATAAAGTGTGAGGTTTGGGCTGAGAGTCATTTTTTTGCTTATGGATATCCAATTGCTCCAGCAGCCTTTGTTGTAAAGACTGTCCTTCCTTCATTGGATAACTTTTGTACCTCTGACAAAAATCAGCTGGATTTCATACTCGTGTGGGTCAATTACTGGGTTCTCAATTTTGTTCCACTTATCTATGTGTCTGTCCCTTTGTCAATACCACACAGTCTTGATTACTGTAGCTATATAAGTTTTGAAATCGGGAAGAGTGATTCCTCCCACTTCATTTTTATAGTTCAAAATTCTTTTAGCTATTCTTGTTCTTTTGCCTTGCCATATAAATTTTGCCATATAGAATAATCTTGTCTATATCTACCAAAAATCTTTCTGGGATTTTGATGGGAATTTCATTAAATTTTTATGTCAATTTGGGGGGATTGATATCTTTACTATACTGAGTTTTCCAAACCATGAATACAGCATGTCTCTTTATTTATTTAGATCTCCT